CAGAGACGGGGGTGCCGAGAAATGAGTGAAATCTGCTCGGACGGGCGGAAGGATAGGGGCTTTATTTACGATGTTCGCAGTGCTGTAGCCTCACTGACCATTGCTGGGCAACTTCTCTTTAAATTTGGACAAAGCGTGTAATGAACTGGAATGGATGAGCAGTTAATGACTAGCATACCGATATTGAGGCAACAGCAGCACTCCAAGCCAGCTGAGTAAATTTGAGCTATCACTCGTTTTTTGTGTTCTCAGTTCTCGTGAGAGACAACACGGCAGGTGTGGGATTGGCTAGCTAAACAAAGCATCAAGGGAGACCTAGCGCCTAGAACTTTAATAATACGTAGGTGCCCTTGTGATGCTTCCTGTTCGAGGTTTTTTGCTTCATGCAAGCCATCAAAAGCCCTGCCGGTGGATGGATGCTCTTGGCAGTTGCTATCCCCGGTATATTTCCCGGTGTTTCAGTCTTTCATGGAAAGCGAATGCGAAAGGGTTTTGACTTTGGGAAGTGCCATATTTTTGGCAAGCTAAGCCAAGCTGTTGCTGTCGTCATAGCTACTTAAGAGAATTAGCTAGCCTTCACACTTTGAAACAGTGAGATGTGAGAACACTTCATTTTTTTGCACTATTTGGCGTCATCGGTGCATCTGGCAACTTCTCCAGTTTTAAAGTGTAGCGGCATCCATATAATTTCATAAGGGCATGGTGTTTGGTAGGACTTGTTCGGCATTCGTTTTAAGTCGCGCAGGCACCATCCAGCAGCCCCATTTCGGCCATCTGCTCACCAGAGACATTCTTAACTAAGACGGGTTTGGCTGAATTATTACCTCCCTCTGTATGTTATAACCAAGTATTGTAATAATTCAGCCAGATTTAGGTTTAGCTGAATTATTACAATACTGTACTATAATATACTGAGGGAGGTAATCCATACATTTGCATCGTTCTCAGCAAAAATAATTAATTGCTTTATCATAGGTTTTGTTCGGTGAATCCGACAAAAAAAAACACTTTTGGACTTGCATAAAGAAAATCAAAACGCTCAGTGTTTGAAAAACCTTGGGGTTGTTGGGGCGAAAAGTCAACAGTTGAAGGGCATCAACCGCATAGAAATGGGCTCAGTACTGTTTGGTAGAAAGAAAGCGAGCACTCGGGTGGCCTCTCAAAGAACTGGCGAATATACCTCGAAACGATGGGCCTGGCATAGCTGCATCCTAATACCATGACTAACATGAGATATCCGAACAATTCTGTATTCTTGTCACTATGGGCTAGAAATTGAACTTATCTTTTATACGGGCTTCTGGAGGAACTTCGAAAGTACAGCCAAGTGTAACAGTGTAATTTGATGAATAATGTAGTCGATTTTTCCTTAGCAATAGTTCATTTTAATAGATTTCTGAGAGACCGGTTTTTTTTGTGATTAGAATGAGATTCATCTATTATTGTAATTGTAACTTAGAGGCACTCATTTATTATAATTGCGGTGTATTCAAAGAAGTTCGTTCTTTTGCATCCGGAACTTTTTTCCCTGCCGTCGTTTGGAAATTAGTGGCGCAGAAAGCAGTGTAATATTTAGTGTTTGCGAAAAAAAAACTGGCGAAATGAAACTTTTGCAAATCAGTGCAAAAAGGGATCGTGAAAATTTGTTGTCAGTGATTCATGGAAAAAAAATTAACACCGTGAAAATCCCTTTTGTCTTAAACTAACTCCTGAGGATATTGCTTTACGTTTTTTAAGAATATCAATCATAGATTTCATTCTGAGAAGGACTGTGTGAACAAATGTTTTTTTTTCCTCCTCTTTGCATGGATGATTCGAGAGCCTCCCAAGCTTCCCTCTTCTGTGCTGATGAAATCATGGATTTTGCATGCCTGGCCAGGCCATGAATCGCCGCCCACGGCCATGAATCATGCTGTGGATGTCGTTTAGTAGCTTTCATAAACAACGAATAATAAATTTTTGAAAGCATCGGCCCTGAAAACTAAAAATTCAAATATTAAATGACTAGTCGTACTGCTGACGGCACACAGTCATTCACGCATACGCACAAACTCAGTCATTTATAAATAAAAATATACTCACGTACACATGCGGACGCGCATAAGTTATTGGTGTAGGAGTTAAACGCGTTTGAGAATTCCATGTAGAGAAATAGTGATAAATAATGTTGGTGGTAGGCCATGAAGTTAGCCCATTAGTAGTAGTAGCTGCAAGAACTTTTGCTTGATTGCAAACGCACATGTTTGGTAGTGGTCCTCTTCGTTAATCGCCTCTGTCCCCCATCAGTGAGCAAATGATTAATTGTCGGCGATCTTCAACTAGTTTTTGCAGTTTCACGGTCCATAATAAATTTATTGCTGATGCGATGAAGCTGACGGCAAACGTACATGTTTTCGAGAGGGACATTGAAGCTTTGCACGATAAGCAAAAATTTTCAAAATTAACTTTATCTGTAGTATTTTTAATAAACAGTAGTTTGCGGGAGGCATGGATCAAACCTGTGTAGGTTAAACAAAGAATTCTAAGACGGCACGGACGGCCGGTGTGAGTATGTCATCACCAAAACATCAGATTACAGGTAACATACCCCGGTCTGTACATGGTAGGGCCTCACATGCACACATTATAGAGAGGTTCTGATGGTAGGCATCTAGCAGATACACATTGTTAATGCTATTTCTGGGATCCTCCACACGCATTGTCCGCACTTTTCGCGAGAACTTTGGATCCGATGCAAAGCTTATGTAGCATGGAAAAGAATGCTTCGAAAATCAGTACTTATCAAAATCCCAGTGGTGTGCTGGTGGTTGGGTCTCATTTTGAATACTTTGTTCAGCTGCTGTTTGCAGCGTCTCTTTGTTTTTGTCATCAGTGCAGCTATTAGCTTCCTCATTCCGTTACTCAGTTCCGAGCTTGCTTACATCACCTTACTTAGTTCGAGGGTGAAACAGACAAACGAGGCACGTACGTCGTTCCTCCTCTCTTTTGACCCTCTTTGTTCTCATTACCTTCCCTCTCCCTTCTCCTTCCCCTCTCCCCGCCACTCCTCCTCCTCCGCTTCCCCCGTCTTTTCCCGTGAGCGAGCGAGGTAAAGTGAAAAGGACTCGGCGGGGAGGAGGAAATGAAGCGAGGAAAGAAGCAACACTTAGCTTGAGGTAACATGGATCAAATCATCGAGGAAGTGTTCTTCAGAAATGTTTCCCAATAGTAACCTCCATATATCATTCTAA